TAATTTGTGTTTATTTAATGTTGCAGATTTTGTATGTAGACCGAGTTTTTGTTTTTCGGAGAAATATTCAAAGGTCAATCCCAGCACGGAATGGGTGGACAACAACACTGCTATGAGCAAGAGAGACAGAAGAGGTAAAGGCTGGTGGATTTGGGTTGGGGCGTGTTGACGAACAATATCATCCAGTAAGGACTTTGGAATAAAATGTGAACAAAGCTAAAGAGAAAAGTGCAAGGAAGGAGAAAGGAAGTGTTGTTATTGAAGGACAGAATCTAAGAGGCGAGGAAGTGAAGGAGGTAAAAGTAAACTAAATTTTATTGGTTTGAGTAAAGTAAAATACTTATTAAAATGCATTTGTTTTTCAAATTTTAAAGTTATGGTATTGTGCATGATGGAGGTTAAAAAGTGAATAGTCATAATACATTATTGATATGATATGAGGTCCATGATTGATGTACTTTGTTTGCAGAATTTCATGGAGGAATTTGCTTCCAAGATAAATCTGTTGGCAACAACATTGATAGAAATTATCAACATGGTTCAACAAGCACCTGCAGATGTAATGGGAAATGAAAATTTCCAGAAAATGCAAGAAGCTGCAAGGAGTATTTTAGGACTGACAGGCCAGCCTAATCCAGAAAAAACTACAACTAATCTAGCCAGTCAAAGAGAAGTTACATGGGATGATCAGTTCTGGTTGAACCCAAATAATATTTTGGAAATTGATAACATTGTAAATGCAATGACGAAAAGAGCAGAGTATAAAAAGATAATAAGTGACATGCCAAGCTTAAGTTTAGGGTTGACTCAAGACTCAGAAAACAACGAAGTTCACAACAATACTATGATTTCAAAGGGAATGCGTTCAGAAGGTGCTGTAGTAGGCGGAAATGAAGTTGTGAATGAGGTAAGTTAGGTAACACGTATTTATTTTTAAAAAGTAATCGAATATACCAAATAATGTGAAGTTAAGTATGTATTTTGGACTTTGCAGGAAGAAAGAGTGGTATTTTTTGATGTGCAAGGAGGTGGAAATGAAACTGAGAATGAGGTAACAAATAATTATTTTTTAAAATTAATCCAATATTCCAAAAAATGTGAAATTAAGTATGCAGTTTCGACTTTGCAGAAAGAAAGCGAGTTATTACTTGATGTGCAAGGAGGTGAAAATGTAAATGAAGATGTAGAGGTAATGTGGGATTATAAATTGAATAATTTTATACTATCCATTTTAAACGTAAAAGTCAATACTAACATATTAACTATTCAGGGGGTTGAAGATCAGGAAGTGCAAGTGCATGATCTAATAGTGCAAACTGAAGGGCCTTTAAAGCAAAAAAGAGTGGCTAAAGCAACAGAAGTGTTTAAGTCTCCATACATCAGCAGAGTTGTTGATGCAAATGATAATTGGGGACCTTTTTAAGGGCAGCTGGAAAGTGGGCGTCGCTCAATGACAAAGCAGACATGTTGATGGTCCCGGATAGAGGTAAACGTCTAGAGGGGGTGGGGGTGAATAGACTTTTAAAGCTTTTTCGACTTTGAAATATTTTCCCTTCTAGATGAGTTGATCTAAAATCTTTTGGGAGATTTATAGATGCACAACGGAAGTCTTTAGCCTCTTGATGATTAGTGTGTGACAACTTTATAGTTTGAATGATGTTTGGACTTTAAACATTGAGGAGTTGGCTTGGCAGTTGCCTGGATGGCAGGGGACTGCTGAGGCAACTGCTAGTGGAAAATAGGAGTTTGGGAGAGATGATTGTATGGCCTTATATGGAATGATGAGTGCTTTCTGAATATGTACTGAGCTTTAGATGATAAGGGATTTTGCATAAGCAGAGGTCTAAGCAGTTGGGTAGACCCAGGAAACTGCTAAGCCACCTGCTGCGTATGAAAGAAGTATTTCTGAGAATAGACAAAATGGACCTTTTAGTAGTGATGTTCTGAAGCTCTTATGAAACAGTTGTCTCAAGAAAAAGTAAGTTATTAAGCAGTAGGATAAGCAATAGAGTCAATTAAGACTACTGCTTAATATGTTGTTGACAAACTACGATTTCTTTAATGAAGAAGTGTTGGGTGTGTGCTCTGTTGACTGAAAGTAAATCAACACACAGTATATCTTGGTTCAGAGCTGGTGTAAACCTCCTACATCCTGTCCCACCCTAATTCAGATGGATTTCACTAAAGTATTAAGCCCAATACACTTAGTGCCAATCTAGGCTTGACAACTCTGGCCTAGATTGAAAGTGTTTCACGAGGATTACAACACCACTCCAAGCTACTCAATCCTTTAGGTTTTTCTCAATTGATCCAGAGGGGATCAAAAGGTACTCCTGACCTATCTAACCACACTACAGGCCGGGAACAACTGTCCTCCTGAGTGTTTACAACACCTTGTAAATTACAAGAAAATTCTGGTCACCAACTAAAAACTAAGCTCTAAAATATGAAAATGATGATCTAGTCTAAGAGCTTAGTGAAGCATGAGTCAAAGCAGAGTGTGAAGTTCTGATCAAACACTTTTTCTTTTGCTAGATATTCTTTGAATGCTTATAGGATTTCTCTGCTTTTGAACTCAAGAACTTGTTTTAGAACTCATGCTTCGGCCTTTATTTATAGGCGTCTCCGGTAGATTACTATCATCCGTTGGTTGAGATGATTTAATCCTGATTGTTGAATCTTTGATTCAGAAGATAGCAACTTGTTGTTCGTCTTCTTCTTTGGAGCTGATAACTTCTTTGTCTCTATCTGCCTAGCTGTTGCAGTTCTCCTTTATAGATATCAACTTGACTGTGCCTCCCATGCTTTGGATCACAAGTACGTTTTTGCATTAAACGTCCTCCATGCTTGGACTTCCTCAAATTTTGATTGATTCCGGAAGATCACGAGACATACTAACAATTTTTGTGCATTAATAAAATTTATACTGGTAGGATTTGAATATCCTATTAAGGTAAATAAATTCACCTTATTGCATTTTTAATTTCCAGTATAATTTTATTAGTCACAAAAATTGTTCATTTATTTGTCCTCAATTTATACACATCTAAAATTCATATCAACGTGTCTTTTGCTTTTTGTGACGTTTGAAAATGTTTGTGATAAATTAAATATATACCGGTAGGATTTAACTATCCTTTTTAAGGTAAAAAAATTACTTTATTGCATTTTGACTTTTCCGGTATAATTTACTTGACACAAACATTTTACTTTTGACTTTTGGTCACTCAAGGTTTGTATGGCCAACTAGTATTTCGAAATCAAACCAAATATTTATCTAGTAGGATAACAAGTCTTATTAAGGCAAAAATCATTACCTTATTGCATTTTGTGTTCCAGTTAAATAATAGTGCATTCGAAATACTTTGTTTTCATTTGATGTGATATTAACAAATAAGTTAAGCTGGTAGGATTTATAAGGATTCCTTATTATAAGATAATGTAATATTACCTTATTGCATTTTGACTTTTCCAATTAAACTTATTTGTTAATTGACCATTTGAGCAAGACACTTTTAGATAATATTTTACTAGCATTTAGGTTAGAGCATAATACATGATAGCTACCAAAGATGGGGGGGGGGGGGGGGGGGACAAAAAAAACTATGGCATCATCAAAACACTTTATCAAAATCTAGGGGACTAACACATGTATACAACATAATGCATAGAAAAAAAATTATATTTCATTTGTTTTTGTATTATAAAGCTGTTTTCAAAACTTTGGAAACAAAAAATGATAGTGGACATCTTTTAAATGTGTGGAAATTTGACTGGAATTTGTGATGGATTCTGAGATATGTTTGGTTGGCATGTGTGATTTTGTTTACAAAACTTTGGGTTTGAAATAGTGTTACTTGAATTTTTGTTTGGCATGTGTGATTTTGTTTACAAAACTTTGGGTTTGAAATACTCTTGTTGTACAATTTGAACGACATGTACTCCGTATAGCTATACTAAACAAAGGGAGTAGTGAATGATATGAGACATTGATTAGTAGGAGTTAAGTATGCAATTGGATTAATAAAAATAGCAGTAAATACAACAATAAAGCAATAGAATTTGGATGAATAATGTAAATGTCTATATAGGTTGTTTTACAATTCCAAATGACATTCACATCTAAAATACATGGGTGGCATGTGAAAGAAAACTTAGACAAAACTGAGTATAGAATAAGATGTATATTTATACCCATAAAGAGATTAGTGAATGAAATGAGACATTGTATACGTGATTGTAAGAATGCAACTGTATTACAAAATGTAGCACTACATATATAAAACAAAGCAGTGCAGTATGAAATAAAAGCTTCACGCCCATGTCATTTTAGGACAAAATTTAATGAACTTGGACAATTTTAAGCTTCACACACGTATAACAACACACTAAGAGCCTTTAAAACTTGGAAAATCTCTGTTGTCGTGATTACTCATTTGATTACATGCACGACATAATCTTTTCGGTCGCTTGTTTTCATCTATGGCAACCTCCTTTGCACCTTTAATTCGCTGACCAGAGCCCTTGTTCTTGGACACTTGAGGAGCAAGAATAGTCACTTCAGATGGTGCAGATGACCCATAGAAACCTTGAATGACACCATCCTTTGATGATGAAATCCCATGGGGATCAACAGAAGACATGAGAATTTGTTTCTGTTGCTTAACAAATTCAGCTAGTTCTTTAAGAAGAAGAGGGCTGGTCTCTGCCATAGCGACACATGCGTGAATGTCTGATCACAGCTGATTAATAGCAGCTTTATTCTCTTCCATGCCAACATAGTTTTGTATAATAGAATCATCAATGGAAAACAAAGGTTTCAGACGGTGTTTCTTGCACCAGCGGGACATAATGAAGTAAGTTGGAATCTGATCTAGCTTACGGTCTTTCAGTGCAAGAAATATGGGTGAACATATTAATTCACAATGTTGGAAGAACTTACAAGTGCATGATGCATTGCTATCTTCAACACAAAAAACGACAGTGGACAGCCTGTTTCGCTCATCACTAATATCATATACGACATTTCCATCACCATGTGTCACTCGTGAGACAGAACAAGAAAAGCACGCAACACAAATTTGCATTGTGATTGAACTTCATAAAATAAAGATATTGTGTATAGCTCAGATGCATGCCTCTCAAGTGAAAGTGGAGTTTTATAAACCGGAACATAACATTCAGAACTCCCATTCAATTTATCATTTGTATGATGTTGCGAGTCCATTGCACATTCATACTGCATATAAAACTCAACCAAACTGAAATGTGGATTACTAAATTCTCCAAAAAAACTATTCTCACTTTCAGACCTTGAAGTTGTTCTAAGTAAACCGCCCATAAATAAATCTCTAAAATACGATGGAATCCAAAACTTACGTATAGAGAACATGTGTGAAAACCATTCATGATTAACCAACTCGAACTCTTTCATAACAGACAACCATCTACTTTCAAAGTCACTTGGCTCCAGGAAGTTAGTCCAAACAACAGAATTGAGCTTGGACATGAAATCCTCGTTATGACTCAAAACCAGTCCAACCTTTGAAGTAACCTTTTTCATAATGTGCCTCATACAATATCTGTGACGTGCATGAGTGAAAACATTATCGATGGCAATACGCATAGCATGATCTTGATCAGTAACTATGCAATTAGGTTCACGATGCATTGCATTGAGGAAGCGAGTAAAAATCCATACATACGACTCAACATCCTCCTTAGATAGAAGACCAGCAACAAAAGTGACGCATTTCTTATGGTTGTCCACACCTGTGAAGGGCGTGAAAATCATATTGTACCTAGGGGAAAAAAGAATTAGTGCAGACGGTTAAAATGCTACTGAATGCCGAAATAGTGAAATAACAAACAACAAAGCAGCAATAAATTTATGAAATATTTAACAGGAAACAGAATTATACCTATTTGTCCCATAGGTCGCATAAAACGAAATGACATCCCCAAAGAATGCGTAATTCTTTCTTGCTATAGGATCACACCAGAAAAGTCGGGTCAACTGATCAGTCTCGTCAACATTATACTCGAAAAAGAATGCAGAACATAAAGCTTGATTCCTAAACAATTTATCGATGAGCCTTTGAGCATCTACACCTTCAATGTACGCTTTGAGGTCTCTTTTGAAGTTTTTGAAGTCAACTGCAGTTGCCCCAATGTTTGCATAGCCACCAACAAATTCTTTATACAATCGATACGACTTCATTGTCCCAATATTGGCTTTTGCACAGTTAACGACAAATTTCTGATGACCAATATCTAAATTTCTGTTAACCTTTAGGAACACTTTTGAAGAATCAGTTGGCATACGATGGTTATGCCGCTCTTCGAATGGGAAAACAACATACCCACGTAAACAAGAGAACTTAAAAGATATCCGAGCATTACAACCAATTCGTCTAGAGATGCGACGACGTATAATTTTTTCAACTTCATTAGGTTTTTTTGTTGTAGCATCTGTACATTGAGATGATTCACATGTAGCATTTGGAGGGGGTTTAGAACAAACAAATCCAGATTTGTCACTGGAAGGGTCTATAGAAGAAGCATTACAGGTATCATTCAAAGAAGTTGAGTCATTCTTAAACCCTTGACGGTTACAAACCACATATTTCAACAAAATTGTGCCATCTCTAGCCTTTGAAGCCGCACCAAGACGAATTGCAAAACCACATAAAGATGCATATTCTTTATAAAATGAAATGGCATCTTCAAGGCTATTGAAGAACTTACCAATTATAGGTTTTCTTTCTAAATCACACTGAGGAATCCAGTGTTAGAATAGAAAAAAGAGAAATCTGAAAATTACAAACACCACCTGAATAGAAAAAAGAGAAAAATACACAGGAATTAAAGCAAACTGAATGTTAGAATATAATGTGTGAAATATAATAAAAATGTAGCAACAAAATATGTAAGTATAACAACATATATTCACAATACCAGTACAATATACATGGGTTCGTAATGAATACATTAAGAAAAATTATATTGACTAGTGTTAATAAACTAAAGTTGAAATCAAAATCATACTAAAAGCAATTGAAGTGAATAAACTAAAAAACAGTATACCTAAAATGCATAAAAATAAGGCACAATACATAATTTGATTACAGAAGCGTTAATACAATAGCAATACACTCGAATAAAACATATGTCCAGTATCAATAATAGCTATAGGTTTAATAATTCAAACTAAAACCGGAGAGAATAAGAAACAACACAATAGCTAGATTTCGAATGGATACAAATAAAAAAATCTAAATAATCCGAAGCATGTAAATAAGAATTATGGAAATTACTATAAGAAAATAATACATACCAGGATCCATATTTCCCTTGTGATGGAGAAACGAGACGATGATGAAAACCAAACTTAGATGTCAAATAATCGTTGAGGATGCTTTATGGAAATTCGGAAATCGATTTTTGGAAAGATCGATTATCATGTTTTTATTTTGTTGAATTGGGGGAGAGGGGGAGAGAGGATGCGCATAGGAAACAGAGGACGTGCGCAGGGGAATAACGAAATAACTGAAAGCTTAAATTGCCAAAAAAAACTTTTGTTAAATACGTACTTAATTCAAAGTGGCGGATGCAAATGTTGAGATGAGTGGCTGGGATTAATTCTCACTTTTCATATAAAAGGCACTTTGCATTTGAACTCCCATATATATATATTTATATTATATATATATATGTGTGTGTGTGTGTATGTATATGTATGTATATTTATGTATATGTATGTATATGTATGTATATATATGCATATGTATTTATATAAGGTGCTTAACGTGAGAATGGTCACATTTAAATCAACGTGGTGCACAATGGAGCTATTCTATTGCACGTTTTCAATTTGCTCGAATTAAGCCTATATTAAATGACACGGTGGCATTTTGGTAAATATTGTGAAAATGTGAAAATGTGCAATATACAAGCTTCGTTGTGCAACACGTTGGGGTAATGTGGTGTTCTCACGTTCTCACTTTAAGCATTGTTCTCATTTGACCTTTATGCTATATATATATATATAGGATGTGGTTCCAATGAGAACGATGCTTAACGTGAGAACGTGAGAACACTCACATTTAACCCAATGTGATACACAATAGAGCCCGTCTGATGCACATTTTGATTTTGGTCCAAATAAGCTAATGTAATGATAACAGTGTCGTTTTGGTAAATATTATGTTGAACGTGAAAAAGTGCATTAGGCTAGCCTCATTAAGCATCACATCGAGGTAAATGTGGTGTTCTCACGTTCTCACGTTAAGCCTTGTTCTCATTTGATCTTTAATCTCTCTCTCTCTCTCTCTCTATATATATATATATATATACATATGTGTGTATATATATATATACATATGTGTGTATATATATATACATATGTGTGTATATATATACACATATGTGTGTGTATATATATACATATGTGTGTGTATATATATATACATATGTGTGTATATATATATATACATATGTGTATATATATATATATACATATGTGTATATATATATACATATGTGTGTATATATATATATATACATATGTGTATATATACATATGCATATATACATATGTGTATATATATATACATATGTATATACATATATATATTGTTAGTACCCAATTTTGACAAGATTTTGATGATGCCACTATACTTAGCACGTGTACATTGTGTCTCATTTTGTTCTAGTATTTACGTGACAAATTAATTGTACAACTTTTGAGTCTAAGAAATATTACTGGAAAAGTAAAATTGCAATAAGGTAAATTTTATTTACCTTAAAAGGATATTTAAATCCTACCGGCAAATACTATTTGACTCAAAGATTATTCGTATGTCACATTTTAGATAAAAGAAACTAGAAGTATCAAATGAATGATTAGAGACAAACATTGACCGGCATTTAATGCCAAATACGTACTGGGTCCGGAGTCATGTACATACACATGGGACTGCAGTTTGAAGTGAAGCTCCGGCGGCTAAATAATACAAGACAAGGAGATGAGCCCGCATTAAAGCTCCAGCACAAGAAGACGAATGTACAATTTGTCCTTAACAGAGTTTCAACGTCAGAGATTAATCCATCCTAACCAACGGATGAGATTAATTCAAAGGAGATGCCTATAAATATAGGCTGAAACGAAAGTTTCTAACCAAGCGTTTGAGCATCCAAAGAGAGAATTTCTATCACGAGCTTTTACGAGATATCTAGCAAAAGAGAAAGTGCTATTCTAAACTTTACTCTCTGCTTGGACTCATGCTTCACTAAACTTCCAGTTTACAAAGCTTTTCATTGCTAAATCATAGAAGTTTAGTTCCTAGTTGGAGGTTAGAACTTTCTTGTAAACAAATCACATATTGTTGTAAACACTTAGGAGAACAGTTGTTCGGATCCTACAGTGTAAGTAGATAGATAGAGTACCTTTTGATCCCCACTGGTTCATTAGAGAAAAGTCTAAGGACTGAGTAACTTTGAGTGGTGCTATACTCATCGTGAAAAACCTTCAATCTAGGCCTAAGCGTTGTAAAGGCTAGATTGGCACTAAGTGTATTGGGCTTAATACTTTAGTGAAATCCATCTGAAAGAGGGTGGGACTGGACGTAGGAGGATTACACCACCTCTGAACCAGGATATATCGTGTGTTGAATTCATTTCAGTCAACAAAGCACACACCAAACACTTCTCACATAAAGATTGTAGTCTGCCGGCAGAATCCTAAGCAGTTGTCTTAATTGACCCAACTGCTTATCCTACTGCCTAATTACTCACTTTCTTTGAGACCGGATTCATACCTATAACGTGCACCAACAACATCTAAAAGCATCACTCTTTCAGTTCTCTGAAGTTCATTTTCTAAGTATAGCAGGCGCCTCAACAGCTCCCTGGAATCCACCCAACTGCTGAGCCCTCTGCTCATATACACTTGTTTCAAGTCACTGTCTCAAACATCACCAGATTGTCAATACCTCATCAA